TCGGATTCGCGGCCGAATCCTTCTCAACCGGGGGAGGATGATGGAGACGAGACCGCCCTAGCTTATTTGGAGAAATTTGACCGGCTTCGTATTTAGCATTATTCCTTTTAGTGTTTTATTTGATTTATGCATTTTCTTATTTATTAATTATGTAGTAGGAAATAAAATATCTTGCAACTTGTTAGGCAAGATAAGTATTCCTTTGCTTATTTATATGTGAACAAACAAGGGGAAACATCATTGACGTTTGAGAATAAAATTTATCTGTTCCTTTTCTTTGAGAGAGTATCTCAATTTTATTATTCTTCTTGAGAGAGTATCTCGAGAGGGCCCTTTTCGTATCACGTTCTACATCAAATATCCAATACATCATAACACATGATACGGTTATATAGGGAGTGCACATTAAAGCTGAGATATCAATCTAGTTTATATTGCGTGCATTGAACAATGTCAAAAAATTATATGTTATAGGTTATATATATTTGTTTTTAATAAATAATAATATAAATTATTAGATAAAAAATAAACACTAAATATAAAATTTCATTTTATTAATAATTTGATAAATGCAAAATAATACTATATGAAATACATATTATTAATGTTTTTAAATTGAAATGCACATGAAAAAAATACTCGATTAATAGGTTGCACAATAACAAATAGGTTGCACAATAACAACAAACGAAAAGCATGTTATTGTGTATATTATTGATTTTGATATTTTATATATTATGTATTTTCCACAACAAATAATATAAAGTATCAAATAATGATATTAAAATATCAATTATGTTTTTATAATATGACTAATAAATCAATTCAGTTATTTATGGTAATTTGATTAACCGATTGAATAGACGATCACTTCAATTCAGTTAAACTTGGTGTTGTTAAACGGAATTGTAACAACATGGGGTAATCGAAGAATTGTCCGAATTTTGAATTGAAGTAACTTTTGTACATTTTTTGGTGTAATTTCTATATTTTTCCTCCTTTTTTTTATTTTTTTGGTTGAAGGAAGTACAAAAAGATGAGGAAGGAGAAAAAATAAGTTGATAAGGGAAAGAGTAAAATACAATCCCCTCAGACTTATCTAATTGCCCATCAGGGGTATTTATATTCGTTTTTGTCGGCCCCGATATTATTACAAACGGTGTTATTTTGGGGCTTTAATAAGACAAAGTATAACAATTGATTTAATAAATATCCATGTGTAATATTTAAATAGTAGAGACCAAAATTGGGTATCAACAGTTGAGTAATTTATATATTTATTAATAAAAAAATAATAACTGGACAAAAAACAACAAAAAAGGAGGACACTGGACCAACATAAAAAGCACGTATTCCGTGAATACGTTTTCTGTATATTTTAATCAAAAAACATATTCACTAAATACGTTTTTCACATTTTTTTACAAATGAAAACGTATTCCGTGAATACGTTTTACAATTAAAATGTGCAAAAAATGTATTCACGGAATACGTGCTTTTCATTTCATTCCACCCACTTTTTTCTTTTTTTTTTTGTCCACTACTTTTTTTTTGGTAAAAAATTCATCAACAGTTGGTTTGGAACAAATTATTAAAAATGTTTAAATTATAAATGCACAATATTGTTATGCAAGTTGTACACTAATCGGTATCGAATTGCACATGATAAACATGAATCGACCAACTATAATTTAACTTGAAAATTTTTATAATTTTGTTCAATTATACATTTATTTTTTATAATCACAGTTATTTCAATTTGTTGTCGCCTTTTTTTTTTTAAATAAACAAAATAATGGAAACGAATGAATTACATTTAAAATATTATTATTATAATTTTTATATATTATTATATATTGCGAATGCACATTATGGTTATTCTGAATGTTAATGACCATCAGATTGCACCATATCTAACTAAATCGACCACGCTGTAAAATTTCAATTCGAAATGTTGTATTTCGATTCAATTATTTTGTTTTTGACTTTTAAAAAACTCGGTTTTTTAAGTTCAACATATTATTTTTTTTATATATATAAATAACCTAACGACTGAACTATATACAAATTTCATAATTATCTTTTTTTTTTATATAATTTTGTGTAAAAGTTATTATTCATTTTTAACCAATAAAATATAAAAATTTGAATATCCCTTGGAATATATTAGCGTAGGATTTCCTGAATTTTTTTTGGTAGTGCGAATATTAAATGAAAAAGTTTGAGGATCAGAGAATAATATTTTGAATGAAAAGTCTGTTAATTGGCAATGAACTATTTTGACAAAATGTTGTACACAAATATTATCCTTGCAATCGGCCCTGTTAGCAAGTCACAAATCCGGGGTGGGTTATTTTTTTAAAGAAAATATAAAAATCTGTGGCAAAAAATAAAAAAAAAAA